GATAGATTTCCCCCAATTTTATTATATAATTGGCTTATAACTGCATAAAATTAAGGTGTACAAACATAATGACTTAACTTTCATTTATTGTGAAGTGATTACCGCACTAAGTTTAGTTAACATCCACCATCTCATGGATTAAAAAAAAAACAGAAAGAAAAAGAAGAAAAAAATTACACTTTTCTTTCCTTGTGATGGGACTTCTTGGAATCTTTCAGATGTACCAATACAGCAGTAGTAACTATAGCCATCACGTTGTATGTTTCCCTTACATCCTCATTTTCACCATTCCTTCATTCATTCATTGAAGAAATGGAAACCATTCTTCAAAGAGCTTGGGCCCCCGTCATCTTTCCATCATCGTTTCTACAAACTCTCAGCAGAACTTGCACTTTTTGATATTGTTTTTGCTGCATTGGGGGAAGGGCATCTACAGCTGTAGTCAGGCACAGATAAGGGGTGAAGCTGCAGGCAACATGGAGAGCTGAATTCACTCAAGGTTATGGTTTTGTCAGATGAGTAAGGCAGCAGAAAAGGGACCAAAATTTAAAGGGGTATAAAAGGTATTGACCAAGACGATAGATTATAGAATCTAAGTGGAAGTAAAGAAAGGAATGACATGATGGGGTAAGGACACTGGCAAGGTGAAAATATTAATAGATTGTAGGTCTCAGTGTGATTCCCTGTTCATTTTATTTGTCCATTTATTAGACAGTCTTCTTCATATCAATTTACAGGATTCCTTACATACTTTGAATACTATTTTTTGTTGTTTGTAAGCTTATATTTTCTATCTGCAACTTGCTTTTTTCACTGTTTAAGTGATGAATTCTGATGCACAGATGTTTTCAATTTTGTCAGATTTGTGCTTTATGGGTTATACTTTTTACGTCTTGTTTTGGAACTCCTTTTCTACACTGAGATCACAAAGATATTCTTCCAGATTTTCTTCATAATATTTTCAAGTTTCACATTTTACTTTTGTATCTACTTCACCTGGAATTTATTTTTGTGCATATTACAATGAGGTGCTAGTGGTAGAGAACCCACCTGCCAGTGCCGGAGACATAAGAGACATGGGTTCGATCCCTGGATTGGGAAGTTCCCCTGGAGGAAGGCATGGCAACCCACTCCAGTATTCTTGCCTGGAGAATCCCATGGACAGAGAAGCCTGGTGGGCTACAGTCCACGGGGTCACAAAAGAGTCAGACACACTGAGGCGACTTAGCACGCACACACGCATGAGGTAAAGATCCATCCGTCTAGTCTTTAACTCTCCCCAGTCTGGTTTGTGCCTCTCCAATTCACTAAAAATGCTGGTACACTTCTTGCCAAATCTGAAAGATATTTTTCAGCCCCAGCTTTTAATTTTATTCAGTCTTCCAGTAGCATTTGACACTTTTGGCAGCTCTCTTTTTCTAAAAACAGTCTCTTCTTATGGTTTCTTTAATGCTTGCCTGTTTTCCCCTATGTCTCTGAAGGCTCTCAGTCTCCTTTAATATAAATAAAAATAACAACTATCATTTATAAAGTGCTTTTTTATGCGCTAGGCCCCATGTTAAGTTTTTTTTTTCTTTTCTACTTAATCCTACAATAGACTGTTGAGACAGACCTGGTACTGATGAGGAAACTGAGGCTCAGAGAAATGATGTAACTTGCTCCAGGTGATTCAAATGCAGGCAGCTTGAATTTGAGCCTAAACTTTGTACCGCTATGCCATGCCGGCTCTGTGGCCTGCACTTGACATCTACAATTTAGTTTCCTAGAGCTCAATCTAGGGCCTTCTTCTTACTCCATACTTTCTAAGTGATGTTCTTCTTTCCTATATCTTTAAAAACTGTCTGTATACCAATGACTTACAAATTTATATTGATATTTCTAGCCTGGACCTCTTTTCTGAGCTGTGCATGCAATTTTGACACTTGTTTGATTCAGTTATCTTAAACTTAGCATGTCTGAGACTGAACTCTTGATCTTATCCCCAAACAATCTCCTTCACCTCAGAGGTCGACAATTCCATCTCCATGGTGTCTCATGCCAGAAACCTAAAGGTTTTTGGTACTGTCTTTGGTACTGTTTTTGGTACTGTCTCAGCTTGGGAGTGCTGCTGTAACAGAATGTCATAGACTGGGTGTGTTATAAACCAAGCTGGAAAATCTAAGATCAAGGTACTGGCAGACTCAGTGTCAGGTGAGGGCCTATTTCCTGGCTTGTAGATGCTGTCTTCTAGCTGTGTCCTCACAGGGAGGAAGTAGCAAGGGATCTCTCCATAATCTTCCCCCCCCATAATCTTTTTTATAAGGGCACTAATCCCAGGGGATCAAACCCAGGTCTCCCACATTGCAGGCGATTCTTAACTAGCTGAGCCACCAGGGAAGCCCTACTAATGGGATAAAGACTTCTAAATCTCAGCTCATATTAAGTTCAGATATGTACAGAAAATGTACTTTATTTGCCTAAAGTGGTCTTTCTCCTGGCCCCATCTGTTAGATAATGGGGTGAAAAGTTAACCAAATACCTAATTTCTTTTAAAGCTTAGACTCAGAATTAGCCCCTTCAGATCGGTGGTCCCCAACCTTTTCGGCACCAGGGACCAGTTTTGTGGAAGACTTTTTCTCCTGGACTGGGGCTGGGGGATGGTTCCTGGGTGATTCAAGTGCATTACATTTATTGTGGACTTTATTCCTACTATTATTACATTAGCTCCACCTCAGATCTTCAGGCATTAGATCCTGGAGGCTGGGGACTCTACTTTAGATAGTATCTACCTCCTTTTGGATGGAAAGATTCACTAATTCTCCCCCTAAGAGTGCATCTGGAGGTCTGAGGGAGGGATGTGGCTTACTTGTGAATTCTGCAGCATTGAGACTGAGGGACACACGGCCTGGGCAGATTCCGAGAGCACACTGGTTGGCATCAGTCGGTCTCCTGTCTGTGTCCAGTGCTGTCTCCATTGTTCCACTGCTGTGTCTTCTCTGTTCTTTCCGTCTGAGTAGCGCTCCTGATGGCTTTCCTAGACCACTGCTGATTTTCTTGCCAACCCTTCAAGTAGCTCACTGGCCCATTGACCGGATGATGGCTTCCATTACACTAGATAAATTTCTTTGTTCAATCACCGTCATTTTTGGCATACTTACTTAAATATTGTATATATGTGCAATTGTCAGTTCATGTTAAATATTAGAAAAATTATTTTTCCCCTTTTATAAATACAAAAAGAAGTCCTCATATTTTCTCTCTTGGTTACTAAGAGGTGTGGATTTCAACAGCTCCATGGGAATGGGAGATGAAGCTTTGGCCTAGAAAAAGGAAGAGAGAGAATAGACCCAGGGTAGCTTCATGGAACCCACTCCAGTGTTCCTGCCTGGAGAATCCCAGGGACGGGGGAGCCTGGTGGGCTGCGGTCTATGGGGTCGCACAGAGTCGGACATGACTGAAGTGATTTAGCAGCAGCAGCAGCAGCTTCATGGAGGCTGATCTCCATCAACCTCGGCTCTGAGCACAAAACAGAAAAAACAAAACAAAACAAAACACAACTCCCCTAAAAATTTACAACCCTGGGACTACCCTCAGTCACTTTAAAGTTTCAATTAAGACTGTGCTGTCTGGGAATCCCCAGCCAAACATTAACCTCAATTAAAAAAAAAAAAAGAAGACTGGCAGAAACAAACCCGGAACCAAGGGGATGTTCTTCGCCCGCTGGCGCGGAACCCAGAGGCGTCGGACCACGCGTTCCAGGGGCAGTTGCTTCGCTGCCCGCAGGGCTGCCCCCTCGGAGGCTCCCGGCTGGGCCCGCGGGTGGGGCTTTCCCACTTCTCGGGGTTCCCTTGGCGCTGCATGACCATGCTGCGCGGCAGAGGGGCTTCCTGCCGCCCACCGTGGCTGGCCAGGAACACGAGTTCGACAGCTTTTTCGAAGAGCTCTTCCAGAAGCTGGGCCGCCGCGGGGACGGGATGGTGGACATCGCGGGACTGCAGGAAGGACTGGAGGCCCTGGGCTTCCCTCCGGGGCGGGGGAGGAGGTGGGTCTCGGGGCGTTCAGGCCTCAGGGAGTGCGGGGCGGGAGGCTCTGCAGGGGTGATATGGGGGTGGGGGTGGAGAAGACCCCCTCATCTCTTCGGGGCCCAGTCCCCAGACGTTTTTTGGTGTGAGCTGCTTCACCAGAGACAGCCCGCTGGTGGAACACTTTTCCACACGTTTCTGTCCTATGAGTGAGCTGCTCCGGTGAAACATGTAGCAGTCTTACCTAAAAATAGGGTCCAAGCCACAAAAGGTCCGCTAGGCGTTCCTACAGGTTAACGGAACCCCTGCAGGAAGCCGACTGCCTGGGCGTGGGCGCAAATTCGTTTCGCTCTTGGAAACTCCAGGAGTCCGTCTTGATAGCTCCTCCTGAGCTCTACGCGAGGGCGTCCCATAGCTTGGGAAGTGGGGCCTGCACTGAAGGGCGACAGCTCCCCGCCTAGACCTTTGGGAATTCCCTGCGTGGGCACTTGCTACTCAGAATACTGGAGTGGGTTGCCATTTCCTTCTCCCTTGGGTCTTCCAGATCCAGGGATTGAACCCACGTGTTTTGCCACTCCTTCATTGGCAGGAGGATGCTTTACACTGAGCCACCTGGGAAACCTCAGTTAAAACCAATACTTGCCCGTTTAACCCTACACTTAGAAGTCACTGTACTGCCCTATACCTTACACGGTAAAGTTATCCTTAAGTTCAACACATGACAATATCAATACTCACTATTGTATTCTCAGAGGGTCCTCATTTCCACAACTGTACATTTAACCAGCTAAGTTACTGTTAAAGTCTTGTTTTACTTAAAGCTTCTCTAAGAGGCTAGTAGCTTCAGCAGCAGCATGGGAACATGTGTGCACATGAGTTTGAAAAGGTGACAGTACACCAGGCTTTACAGAAATCTTTTCCTTGTGAGGCAACTGAATTACATTCAACTACGAGAAATAGTATTTAATAAGTTTCCATCTGGTAGGCTTGAATTGAATGATGGATGTGAGAGCAGAGAACACTGAATCTAGAAAAACCATACGGTCAGTACAGTAACATGTAGTTTATGCACCATAGTTCTTAGGATTTATACAGTGTATGCCAGAGAAATGCCAGAGAAATGAGGGGCGGATTAATGCTATCTAACATTTTGTTATGGAAACTGATGGTTTGATCCCTAAGGCCCAACCAACCACAGATTCCAGTCCTAATTTTATATAATGTGTATTGCTTTCACTGGATTCTGTGTGTCCAAGGCTTTTTGTTGCACTCACTTTGTGTTACACAGAATCAGCAAACAAACAGATGAAGTTATGCTTTCATTCAGAATGCAGCCCCAGAATCTTGTTATTCCTTCTCTCTTCTCAGGCAAGAACTGGGTCTTCTGCTTTAGCGGCCTGTCAATTTATCTTCTATTCATTTATCCCAATGGTTCTCAACTAGGGGTGATTTTGTCCCTCAGAGACATATGACATTTTGGATGGTTGGTTGTGACAGTGGGGGATGTATGTGTGTGATGTGAAGGATGTAGTGAGTCAATCAGTCAGTTCAGTTGCTCAGTCGTGTCTGACTCTTTGCAACCCCATGAACCACAGCACACCAGGCCTCCCTGTCCATCACCAGCTCCGGGAGTCCACCCAAACCCATGTCCATTGAGTCGCTGATGCCATCCAACCATCTCATCCTCTGTCATCTCCTTCTCCTGCTCTCAATCTTTCCCAGCATCAGGGTCTTTTCAAATGAGTCAGCTCTTCACATCAGGTGGCCAAAGTATTGGAGTTTCAGCTTCAACGTCAGTCCTTCCAATGAACACCCAGGACTGATCTCCTTTAGGATGGACTGGTTGGATCTCCTTGCAGTCCAAGGGACTCTCAAGAGTCTTCTCCAACAC